AACAGTACAGGTCAACAGTACATGACATATTCCTGGTAGTAAACTCCTCAGCTGTTTAGGAGTTTGATGACAGAGGGAAAGAAAGTTTTTCCAGTCCAGCGGTCCTGCATTTCACACTTCTGAACCTCCAGCCAGAGGGTAGGGAGGTGAACAGTCCATGCTGGGGGTGGGTGGGATCTTTGAGGATGGAGGCAGCCTTCCTACGCACCCTGCGGTGGTAAATGCTCTGCAGTGATGGAGTTAAATTCACAATTACACCCTATAGGTGGACCTACACAAACACCCACATACACAGACACCTAAAAGTGTCCTAAAATCTGTACTCTGTGCTTTCATCAGTCATCACCTGACTTTTATCATTCCTTCCTGCTAACACCGAGATGATCTGAGATGTCAGAGTTTTATCATTGCAGAGCTTTACGTTACCTACAGTACCATTCATCAGTGTGACAAGATTTATTCTGAGTCTGTGCTATTAATCATTTTGAAGGAAAAGGTGTCAGCTTTTTCACCAAGGTTGGATGACTTCATTTTGACTCTAGCTTCAACTTCAGAATATTATGTTTATTATGTATAAAATCATGATAATGGCTTTCCTGCCTCTGGCGACAGCAACATCACAGAGAAAAAGCAGAAACATCTAGAGTTATAAATATAATTACTGTCATTGCTACTTCCATTACCACTAATGACAATAAATTAATTTGAACCTGCAGTAGATAAAGTACACATTCCTACTAACCTGGCCAGTCTGATTGTGAACTGTTGTACCTCAGCTGAGTTATAACTGTGTCAGTGGAGGAATGAGTGGACTCATGGTAGGTTACTTCTTTTACTCCTTTTTGGCAAAATGGGGATGGACTGGAATGGAGAATAAGACACAGAAAACTTTTAGTTTAATGCACTCTTCACCTGAATCAGTCTGTGGAGTTTTTTCACCAGTATGATCATAAAATATCTAGTAGCTGAAATAAACATTCCAATAACATTTTATTTGTATAGCACCACATCACAGCAAAAGTCATCTCAAGACATAAATTGATGATATATATACGGTGTAGAAATAAAATAATTTGCCTAATTTCTTGTCCTGTATTGATATGATCACTGTGTCACAATGTGTCACCTGATGGTACTCCATCTGCTGACCTTAGTTGCTGAGAAGAGTCCACATATTAACATTTGTAAGTGTGTGGAATCTGCATGGTGTACAGGAAGTTGCTTTGAATCCTAACCACCTCCTGGGTTTTGTAGTTTAACATACATGTATATGGGTCAAAAAATAAGAAAACATCCTTATGCCTGGTCTTGTCCATTATTCTCCACTAGAATCCACATATCATGGTGATATTAACACAAGACATTGAACATCAAAGAAACAACAGCATCGGTCTTTGGTCAAGACAACTAATATAAACATTCTACTGAAAACCATCATAGATGAACTTGAAGTGAGGAAAGACAAAGTGAATTGGTATCTTCCAGCTTGTGACTGACTGAACACACCTGATCTGGGTAATCAGCAGTGGGTAGGGCAGGGATAGTTGGATCCATCTCCTGGATCTATCTCTAATACAGAGCACACAAACATGACAGTGCTACCAAGTAAACACATTTCCCAAAATGTTGAACTGTTCCTTTTTAATTGTTCTAGTTGTCTAAACTTGGTAATATTTTGTTATATGCATTTTGAAAGGCATTGACAAACAGTGGGATCCTGATGACTGGGACACTAAATACACTTGTACTGGTTCTTTTGTCTGTTTTGTCACTGTGATTGGACAGCTTGTTGGAGATGAACCCATACAGTCATACATAATTAATTCTTTCACTTATTTTAGTTTTCCTATTCATGTTTAGAATTTCATTTACATACTTCTGCAAGCAATTAGTCAGGATACCCACTGCATTCAAAAGCATCCTGTATAGACAGAGCACATATGGAATGACAGGCCTTTATGCATGCACAGTGACACACAGGCAGTGTCTGCTTATCCACTTGCTCACTTAGACTGTACAGTACATGTCTGCAGTTCTTCTGCTGTATATGTGTGTGTGGAGAGGCACTGACAGCTGAGGAAGGGCCTTGATCAGTGTAGCATTCTCCAGACAGTCAACCCTTCAGTCAGTCAGTCAGCTAGCTATCTGTCATTCTGCATTCATTATTAATCACAGAATTACATTGGGGCTCTATCCAGAAGACGTGAGTTTGAAGAGTCGTGATAGATTATGCAATTGTCTGCATAATGCACAGCAGGTGAGGTATCATACGT